CACTCAAAAGAATATATATGTAGGCTTTAATTTTTTTTTTTACGTCAACAGGTTCCACATAACTGGATTACGTTAAACAAACATAATTTGTTCATGTAACTTCAGGGAATTAAGTCATTTTAAGTGACCCGATTTAAGTAGTCTCAACGTGAATTTTTAAAGGCTTCCTGACATGATTCGGGTATTTTTTATATTCATTTATCCAACAATATTTCATTTATTTCAGTGACGCATAACTAAATTGATAGCTATTTACTAACAGTTGCACATATTAGCATCTTAAATGCTTAGATTTACGCGCTCCTTCAATCTAAGCAGTAAAAAATAATGAAATCAGTCGAAAGCCAAACAAAATGCTCCTCTCTTCTCCACAATGGAATTTAAATGGTTTAAGCTATGTAATTTAACATTAAACACAATTACATACTATCAAGTCTTCCCCTTTTCTAAATTTCTCAACAACAAAAAAAAAACCATAAAATAACACTTAATTTTAACATTTGAAGAGTTCAGATGCAAAAGCCTCTAAATGCCATTTGAAATGTTCTTCTTTAATGATAATTTTTATCAAGCTTGTATATTTAAGTTCAGTGATTTCACTTAAATGGCAATGATAATTACCTATTAATTGTTATTTAAGTGAAATTACTGAACTTAAATATACAAGTTTGATAAAAATCATCATTAAAGAAGAAAATTTCAAATGGCATTTAGAGGCTTTTGCATCTGAACTCTTCATTTATTCTCTCTTAATTCAACCATATGCAAAGCATGCTGGGAACTAACAAGCACCGGCCAGTTTTAGTTAATGCAACACAAATCAATCATGTAATCCAACATAAACGGATGAAGTAAACTTAAGTTGTTCACATATTTAAGTAGATTGAACACAATCAAATTAAGTTCGGGCAAAATGGCATTCGCCTCGCACTATACTGCCACCCTCTGGATGTAAGAATTTTTTACTTTACATAAATGGTTTGTGTTTCAACAACGCGTTAGGATTTTGTACTGTTACGTTGTGCCATAATTACATAGACCTTAATAGAAAAAAACACAATTATTATAAGTTAACTAAATATAAATCCTTCCTAGTTCACTTTTTTTAGAGTGGAAAGGGGTGGGATTTCCCAAACATGCACAAAGCTCTTGACCAATCACAACACAGTGATCCAGCTGACCAATCAGAGCACATTGTGCTTTTCAGAAGGAGGGGCTTCATAGAGACAGGAAGTAAACAGAGCGTTACTGACAGACTGGGAAGAGAGGAGCCGCAACAATGGAGAATAACATCTAGTAGACCCAAAAAATAAAGCAAAATCTTTGAAAAAGGGAATATTAGGTCCCCTTTAAGATAAGGAGCTCGTAAGGAATGTTGCTAAAGTGGTCAAACAATAGGGTGACCATATTTTGATTACCAAAAACCAGCACACTCAGCCCACATGGGCCAACTCAATTGATACTCGAAGTTTACTCAAAGATACCTTATTAATTTCAATACATTTAAAGTAGCTTATGCCTCCTCTCTATGGATAGAAAATTGTTATATTGTTATATGAAAACAGGACATGTCCTGGGAAAACAGGACTGTTGGTCACCCTATCAAACAATGATAAGACAACAAATTTATCTCGTAGTTCTTTCCCTATAATCGGCCACAAGTGTGACAAGTAACATGATACAAGTAACAACAAGACATTCTGTTGGTCGCTTAGTTTCTATTTTTGTTCTCATTAGTCCAAAATTATTCTCCAAATACCACTATAGCAGACATATAAACTACTATAAAAAAATGCTTTTTCAATAAGGACGGAAAAATTACTTAAAGCTAGAAATGTGTTGTAAGAGCATTAACCTTGAATTCAGCAAACACTGACTTTAGTTACTCACTTTATTAGTGGAAAATGCTGAAGGCGGCTGAAATATCCTAACATATCCTCAAATAAATATTAACCAGGATGTTAAACAGTCCTTCAAAATGCTCAACACAAGTGTGCTGTAATTCCCTCGAGCACTGATCTAAATGACGTCTGTGTTTGTCTGATATTACGTAGCACTTGCGATGGTCTTGTGATTCGGGAGCTAAAGAAAACAGAACTCCTCCTTCAGTAAATGTCCAGCCGGCTTGAATGACCCACATGTCCAAGAGCTCAGAGAGACGGTCGGCCGAACGCTTGAGTTTTTGAAATGATAGATCCTCGAGAATAGAGTAGCTGCTTTTTTTCACATAAATTAAATTATTTTTTTTTCTGAACACGTATTCGTTTGTTGGCAGTTTCAAGTCGATCATATTTTTTTCAATTTACATTTAAAGGAGTAGTTCACTTTTTTAAAAAAACTTTTGCTGATAATTTACTCACCCCCGTGTCATCCAAGATGTCAACGTCTTTCTTTCTTCAGTCGAAAAGAAATTAAGGTTTTTTGTGGATTTTCTCCATATAATGGACTTCAATGGGGACCAAACGGTTCAAGGTCCAAATGAGAGTTTCAGTGCAGCTTCAAAGGGCTTTAAACGACACCAGATGATGAATAAAGGTCTTATAAAGCGAAATGATCGCTCATTTAATAAATAAATAACAAAGTTTAAGTTTTATAAGCTCAAATGTTTGAGTCAATTCGTTCATTTCATTCGCTGAATCAACCAAATGACTCGGAAAAAGGTTTGAACAGGAGAGTCACAAATGTGTTTATAAAACTTTTTTTTTTTTTTTTTTTTAAATGAGCGATTGTTTCGCTTCAAAAGTTTTTTTTTTAAAAGTGAACTACTCCCTAAATAAAAACATGAGGGAGAACTATACATCTAACCAATCAAAAAAACCAATTCTATCATCACGTGACTAACGTCTGCCAATAGTATTCGTTCAAAATATAGTGCCATTACCACGACTGTAGCGTAGCGAATTCTCTAGCTATGTGAAGCTAAAACTTCTTCTTCTTCTTTTTTTATTTTTTTTAAGCAGAGGGGTTGGTCTTTCTTTTGATATATTGCATGTAAACAAAATAGATAAAACAAAATATTCTGGCTTTTGTGAAAATTATCAAATATTGTGGCGGTGGCTGGCAACTCTGGTGGGAAAAGAGTTAATATAAGACATGAGAATCAGTTACTGGAAAAATTAGTTATCAACTAACTCATTATCTCTTGAGCTGGCTGTTCACAACGGACACATTTGTGTTTATCAAAGAAGAAACGATCACCGGCAAATGCTGATAATCTCAAAACGCCCAAATCATTTTCAACCCTTCTTCCTCGACGACGTACAGGCCACAACTGCATTACATAATCAGCAGGCTGGTGGGAAACACATGGCAATTTCGCATGATTATACGGACGTGGCATTAAGATTTATGCTTAGGACACTCATGTCCTCCAGCTGCCGATGGTCATCTCTCAGATTACAATCAACATTTACTCATGTAGAAATCAAGTAACTTTCCACACAAGGCACAATTTCATTTCTCTTTCCAGGATGTGCACCGCGAAACAGGATGAAGTCATGTGACAGCACTGTGTGTGTAAAAACAAAGTGAGATGCAAATAAAGAGTTTAGCTCGGTTTACATAGACAGCCTTCAGAGCTCTTCCCCACAGTCACGAGTTCATGATTCTGGATTCAAGGGAAAACCCTCCATCCTAAACGACCACAGGTCATATGCAACATGCAATATTTGCCTAATGAATTGATGGACTGGGTTGTGGTTGGAACAATAGCTCAGAGCGATTAAATCAGTGGTTGAACCTTATTTAGATACAATTTTAAGTGACGCTTAAAAATGTTTAAATGCCACAAAATGTCTATGAAATGTTCTGCCTGGAAATGAAGCGTGTGTTGTTTCTAATGCAATGACATTCGGACTTTTTAAAGTGCGATTTAAATAAAAATCTTAGAAGTATTAATAGAAAACATTAAGTCAAGATATGTGCGGATACACCAAAATATACGGGCTTGGCATGTTTACACCTGCAATAAAGCACTAGAGGAATTGCAACACTCAAGGTCAAATAAACTTCCCGAGCTACACACGAAAATCACATGAGAGATAAAGTCTGACAGCCATTTGTTAAAGATAAGAAAACAGACATGCATTTGCTTTGCTCTGTTTTGGAGGAAATCATATGGAATGGAAGATATTATAAAATAAGTGTTTTATCCTTCAGCAAAACAAACTGTTCGGCAAGGTAAAGCATTCATTTGTTGCATGAAAATGCAAACTCAGAAAGAAATCACTCTGAGAACTACTTCATATTCAATTTCAACACAATACATTATATTTACCATTTTAGAAAAACTCAAAATAGGCTTGAGCTTTATACATAAATGCATTGGTATATAATGCTATATAGGCTACCATGATAAACATGGTATTGGAATATGTCCAAAAACATAGTAATTCCTTTGTAAAGGAGATGAGATGCATGCATAATGTCATTTAGCTAATATAAGTAGAGTTTTACAAGACAGTGTCGATCACTTCAGACAGCAAATGTTGGTGTCATATATAATTTATGCCATATGTCAGCACTGTCAATGCACTTTTCATTTGTTAAGACAAACTGAAAGAAGTGGAACTTAAGGAATTGGTGTTAAATTGAATATATTAACATTCAAATAAATTAAATAAAGAGACAAAAACATACCAGAACTGTGATGCGAGGTTGTTCAGGTGTGTAGCGTGTCAAACGGCAGGTGTTTTATACACGAACACCGCCGGTGTCATCCAGCAGGGGGCGCTAGAAGCTGGAGCACATCACAGTACCGTAATTCTGCTAATAAAGCCTCATTTTCTCTATGTTCCGCCCACTTTAAAGTTTAAAACAGAACAGCGTCTAATAAACAAAAATATTTATTTGTGTTGTTAAAAAAAGAGTTGAAACTTAATAATAGGCACACAGGTTAAGATATACACGAAACTCAATAATACAAAATAATACATATTTCAGTCTTTACGGTAACCGGATCCTCGCGCCGTTGCCATGGGAGACGCGGCAGCGCTCGCTCGTGCTCTGCTGTGCCAGTGTGCCTCGCGATCAGCTCCAATCATAAACTGTCCGTTATATTCACGGGAAATTATGACGATTTTAATACTCGGACGGATGATTTTATGAATCATAAGGAGTTAAGAGACACTGAATCTGCATTTCGACTCGCGCGGGTTTAAAGGTGTGTAACATTTGACAGAAACAAGCGTTTGGTTAGCAGTTAGCTGGTTAAATCCATGATTAAATCTGTTGATCAGAGTAAACAAAGCTGCTCATGACTTTAGTTTTAAGTAGTCTCGCTCTTAGAGCTGTTGACACGTTATATCTTATTGTATAATTTCATTTCACTTCACTTAATCTGTTGATATTATGTGTTTGTAAACATTTAACACGATAGCTTAAGTTAGACAGATGGGTTGAAATCATGACGAGCTCTGGGAGGTTTCTCAGCTCAGTGAATCTCGTGTCTGATGAATTCACTAGGACTTGTGCTTATATTCCTCCATAGTGTGTGGGTATTTCGTATTGGACGTCAGGAGTGTTGAGAGAAGCTGATAATCTCTTTGTTTAGGCTCTATGGAGTTTTGAATCAGACGGAGATTAGAGATGCCCAGAGCGTCTCAGTGAAATAACCCGTAATCCCCTCGGTGACCTGCTGCTCTTCCTGAGGAGAACACGAGCTGAAGAAGGACTCCGACCAACACGAGGCCAGTGTGACAGGTGAGGAGATAGATAGTAGGTATGTGGACAAAAAATTAAAACTCAACAAATAGACAAATGGATAGCATATGTGGAAAGACCTGGGTTTACAAAAAAAAAAAAAAAGGTAAATATGTCAAGTATGAAGAAAGTTACAACATTTTATACTTCAGTAATCAGCGCCTATTATCGTCTCATTTCTAAGGTGAAAAGAATAGAATTTAGTGTGACCGAAAACAAGTTGTTTTTTCACAAAAATGCTCATAACTTTCTCAATATTCAAGATATCTTAATGAAATTTTCTGTGGAGATGGGTTTCATATAGTTATTTGGATCTAACGTGGGTTTCATATAGACCATTTCACAAGATGTAAACAACACTGGCCCAGAAGCACTTCCTGTTTCAGTTTTTTAACACTACATAAAAGCTGGGATAAAATACAACCAACAAAACATTTAAAACTGAATCAAAAAGTTAAACAAACATCTTTAAGATGTTTTCTTTACATGTGAAATAAAGAAAACAGTTACAAACTGAAACAGGAAGTGTTTCTGGACCAGTGTTGTTTACATCTTGTGAAATGGTCTATAGTTATTTGGATCTACTTGATTTTAACAACATAAAGACTGATTTGGCCTATCTTTTATGGTATTTTTCTGACAAGCAGTTGTTGAAAATACAAATAATTGAATGGAAAACAACAATCCAAGGACAATTATATATCCTTAATTTAAAAGATGTATTTTGGTTGATTCATGCTATTTCCAGTAGTGTGAGAATATAGAGTTAACAATACTAACGCTGGTGGAGGAAAGAAAGTGGAGGAGACCACACAAATGTTGAGTGTAGCCGACACGACGCGCTGGATTTTGACATCTTTTCTACGTGTAACGTTCAGTGGCGGTAGTCATAAAAAAAAAGTGGCGGAGTTTAAATGGCCACGAAATTTTTTACAGCACACCACAAACATATGTTCTTCATGTCTACCTTCCTCTGAAAAGTGTCCAAAGTGGGTAAAAATAATTTCCTTACAGTTGAATTCTTCCGTAATATTGTTTGAAATCGTCTTTCAGGAGGAAAATGGAGCCTGACTAGAAAAAATTGAAAACAAATGTGCACTCGAAAACCCTAATGATGTGATTGGCTAAAAATAATCAAGGATTCCCACAGCGAGTCAATGAAAACAGCGCATTTTAGGAGACCCGCTCAGAGTGATTCGGGAAAATCCGGCACAGGGATTATATATATATATATATATATATATATATATATATATATATAGATAGATAGATAGATAGATAGATAGATAGATAGATAAAAAGGTTTTGTTGTTGTGTTTATTGTATTTCTCCTCAGAGATTTGATCTTCTCCACTCCGCCTTCAGGAGGAAGATCTCGACGCTCTGATGAGGAGTTCGGCTCCGTCATTTCTTCCCCAACTCTAATATTCTCCCGAGGATCGCATGTTTCCTCATCACTGTCTCCAGAATGGCTGACGCCTGGATTACACGGCCCGAGGAACAACTCCAGGAATTATCCTTGTGGTCTTTTGGTTTTTCATGGAGCATCCAGAAGTGAAACGGAATTTCCTCCATGTCATCTGCGTGTGATGTCAGACGTCTGCTGAAGACACTCGTATGTGGGAGCGCTGTGTGCTAATATATTCCAGATATGCTCCAAACCAATAACTACTCGCTGGTGCTGCTGATCCAGCTGGCACTGCTGACCTTTGACCTGTTCGTCAACTCCTTCAGCGAGCTGCTGCGGGCGGCTCCGGTCATACAGCTCGTGCTGTTCATGTGAGTGTGGGATGGGTTTGACAGTGGGGACGCATTATTTTATGGCATCAACCCGAAGTAAATAAGCGCTCTTTTTTTGTTAATGGATTAAAGAATAAAAGCACATGCATGCATGATTCTAACTTCATATTGCTTATCTGTGTTGTTTGTTTCTGCAGAATCCAGGACATTGGCATCCTGTTTAACGTGATCATCATTCTTCTCATGATGTTTAACACATACGTGTTCCAGGTGGGGCTGGTGTCCCTCTTACTGGAGCGATTCAGAGCCCTGCTCATCCTGTCTGCTCTCTACCTCACTCTCAGCATCTGCTTTCACTGCTGGGTCATGGTGTGTACAGGCGCACACACACTTACAGACAGACAGAAACACACACTGTATATCCACAAGTTTCAAAAGTGGGCGCGTCTTCCGGTTTGAAGTAAACAAAGCGTGACACTCGCTCATTCAACAGTTGACAGTCATTCAAGTTATAGCGATCCAAACTAGCTAACGATGTGGGAACACAACCTCAACCACATTCAAAAAGGTGAAATAACAGTACCTTTACCCTCCGCAGTAGTATTATAATAACATTATTAATAATCAATACTCATCAAGGCATGGTGACAGACAGCTGTGCGAGCTGACAAACAATTAAAATAAAAAACACACACTTAGTCATTGTGCTTTGGAGTTTATTCAAAATTATAAATGAATGTGCTGCTTGAATACATTAACTGGCACATTTGATCCTGAGTTTAGGTGTAACATCAGTAGCGAACAGCCAATCACATGCTGAGAGAGTTTATAGAATATTAAGAATTTAAAACAAATGTACACAGGAGGATTCGTCGTCTTTTGGGAGGTGATGGAAACTACAGTCGTTGGCAGGATCACTCTGATTTCGTGTTCAAAACAATCACGTTTAAGCCACTTAATTAGTTTAGTCCGGTTATACATACAACCGCGAACAGCACATGTTGTCCCTGAGCTCAGTAACAACATCTCTCATAAAGATTTGCGTCTTTAAATAGTAAAATAATTCTCCGAAACACAGCTAGCCTCTTCGCTAACTAACACACAAAATACCATTGCAATGCTACTCCCGCCGCCTCACCGGAAGTTTCACCCACTTTATTTTTTACAGGAGCGCCCCTCGGAAACTTGTGGATAGGATCAATCTGAGAGAACAAAAAGTTACGCAGTCGTTCATAAAATTCTATGCATCTGTTCATTTCCCATGTCTAAGTCCATTCTGCTGAAATGTATTATTGTGTAAAACGTGAATAAAAACTAGTAAAATTGTGTAAATAAAAAACAAAAAAAATCAATTTTCTTAAATTTGTATAATATATCAATTTAAAAAATAATAATTATATTGTGTACATATTTGTATTTCTAAAATACTAATTTCCCTAATTTCATCCTGCTGTTGTGCTGCTGTCAGAACCTGAGGTGGATGGAGTCCAACCGTTTCGTGTGGACGGACGGTCTGCAGGTTCTCTTCGTGTTTCAGAGACTAGGTAAGCCGTCGTGAGCCAAACCCTGAATTGGATTTCATGCGAGGGTCACTGTCAATCTCGTCAAGAACCTCTCAATCCCCACAGACCTTCCTCTCTCATCACACATAAGCTGTTGTAGAGGCGTGATTAGGCCATTTCCTGACCATCAAACTGCTAAAGGTGCGGCGTGGCATTTCTAGCGGCATCTAGTGGGTGGCCGACAGGAAGTGATGTCGTTATCTGAGAGTAGCCAGTTAAGCAATGAGGTTTCTTTACTTGATAATTTAGTAAAGCGATATGTTATTGCGGATATTATTGTTACTTGTTCATCAGTGTTTTATTCACCGACTTCAGCTAGCTTCTTTGAAGAACAACAGTAACGAAACACGTTTGTCCGTTTAGGGCCACCGTAGAAACATGTCGTTGTGTTTATTTCAATGTTAGGTTCATGTGGTGTGTGTTAGAGCCAGACCGATATATCGGCAGACCGATATTAGGCATTTTCCAAACTATCGGTATCGGCAGTTATAATGGCCAATAAATGAATATTTCAACAATAAAATAAAAACGGACGAAACACGCTTGAACCATGTCATGAGTGTTGGAGTTGTTTAGTTTGTCCACCAGAGGGCGCTCTACACCGTTCCTGTTGGCAACACTCGTTGAGTTGGTCACGATACATACAATTAAAAGAACATCCCCATCAGTTCTCTAAACTCAAATAAGCAGGACAAAATTTGTGACTATCATGTCCAGTTTAAAAAATAAATAAATAAAATAAAATATCGGCCGATATATCGGAATATCGGATTTTAAAACCCAAAAATATTTGTATCGGTATCGGCCTTCAAAATCCTTTATTGGTCGGGCTCTAATCGACTGGAACCAAATTTGCGAGCGCGACTAAAAAATAAATAAATAAATAACATTTCGGATTTTAAAACCCAAAATATTTGTATCGGTCGGGCTCTAGTGTGTGTAGATAGAAGTGGCTCATGCTAAGGTAATAAACACAACGGTTCATTATTCAAGCTCTTTATACACCACTGAACACACAGTTCTGGATATGATATTGCATTCCTGTAACAGATCCTCCTGAATATTACACACTGCACCTTTAATCGTCCAGCCAGATTTAGCAGTTGGACTGTTTGACAGAAGTTACATGCTGATGGTTGTGTCTCTTCAGCTGCTGTGCTGTATTATTACTTCTACAAACGCACAACCGAGTACCTGGGAGACCCCCGACTTTACGAGGATTCCCCGTGGCTTCGTGACGCATTCGCTCGAGCGCGACAGTGAGAAACAAACCACCGCACGAGGGGCGAAACAATCTAAAAAACTCGGATGCACTTAAAACAAACCTTGTAGAGAAGAGGCCAGATGACTTCCTCTGGAGAGACCTCACTTAAAGCAGATCATAAAACCTGATGTCTGAAGGTTTCGAAAGATGTGACTTTCCATAAGCATCGACACCCTGTGTAACGCGTAGTCGCGCCGAACGCTCTTTTATATTGTTTTGGATCAGCGCCGGAGCGTTTGATTGGACAGTCGGACCACGAGTGGTTTCGTTCACTTCAGTTTGCCTTTGAAAAGACGAGTGGGATTTGGTCTGAAGAATCGTCATGATGGAGCCGGGAGATTTTTTTTGTATGTTTTACCAGTTTTTTTTTTTTTTTAATGTGTTTAATATTTTCATAAACATCCTCCAAAATCATAGGCGGAGCATCAACAAAGTGCCTCACAGGGGGAACAGTGAGGAACCCGCAGAGCGCCAGTGCACTTGTTATGCTGTAATCGTCATTTATTCGTCTGTGACCGCTAATAAACATTTTCCATTGGACTGACTTGTGTCTTTATTGAATGAAGTTTCAGCCGTATCCACACCGCACAATTACGTTGTTGTTGTTTTGACACAATTTTTTTTAAGAAGGTAGTTTTCCCCTCTCTCATTGCTGAATTTACATCTCACAATGGTTTTTTCCCGCCACGGTATAAAAAAGGCGACAGTTTACGACATAACTCTGTGGGAAAATTCTCCGAATTGCGAGAGAAAAAGTCGCCATTTCATATTTTATTCTGTGTCGGAAATATAAGCTTCTTCCATATATATATATATATAGTGGATCAAAAAAGTTCATCAAAGTTGTCCTAGACGATAACGGGTGTTGTTCAAAATTCATGTATGACTTTGATGAAAGGTTTTGATCCCCTTTAAATGTTGATTCATGTGTGTGTGTGTGTGTGTGTGTGATGGTCACGGCAGGTCAGTAGTCGCTCACCGATCTCACCGCTGACAGACTGCTCTATTCTGATCTGTCAGATTAAGCTAGGATTGGGGTTTTACGCTCCACAAACAGCCCGCGGGACACAAATAGCATGCTGTGTTTTCAAATACCCAGCCACATCGTGTGCATGAACGCAAGGAACCTACCGACATCTTATTTTAGGAGTGACAGGATTATATGTATTTACTACAAATATTAATGATACAATTTTCATAATTGGTTGGGGTTAAAAAGCTTTTGTTAAAATTGACCAAAATGAGATATGAACCCATGGCTAAGCACGTTTTTTCCCCCCCGTCAATTCGTCAAATGATGATTTAAATATACATATACAATTGCATTTATTTTTATAAAAGTGACATAGAATTGAGGTTAACATGGAAGCTTGTTTTTGCCACTTAATATGTAAGAAGAAATTGTGACCTTTTTATATTGCAATTGCAAGCTTATATCATGCAGTTCTGAGAAAAAAAGTACAAATTGCGAGAAAAAAAGTAAGAATTGAAAAGTCAGACGTTAATTAGAAGTTTTTTTTTTTTTAAATTTTTCTTGCAATTATGACTTTTCTTGTTACTGAAAGTTTATATATATCGCAATTCACTTTATTCCTAGAACTGCAAGTTTATCTCTCGCAATTCTGAGAAAAAGTAAAAATTGCAAGAAAAAGTCAGAGTTGCGACTTCTCGCAATTTGTCTGGCAATTGTGAATTATCTTTTTTTTTTTTTATCTTTTTTTTATATGATCTCACAATTACCAGATATAAGTCCAATTCTGAGGGGAAAAAGCCTGACTTTTTTAAACATATATATATTTTTTATATATTCTGACTTGATAACTCACAATTAAAAAATTGTAAAAATTTGAATTGTGAGAAAAAAATGTCGCTATTACCTTTTTGTTTTTTATTCTGTGGCTGAAACAAACTTTCATAAGTTAAAAAATTAATCAAGCACAAATAATCTCAAGAATCAATACACACAAACACTGGAGGAAAATGAAAACCAAGAATCATTTTTTATTTTCTACCAAAAAAAAACGTATTTTCGAAATATTAACCCACAACCCCATCCATCATGCCAGTGCAAACTCCGGTACGTCTGCGACGAAACACTTTCCGATTAACTTGGAATGTTTTCCTTAACATGTACATGTCCACAACCTAACAAACACAAATAAAACACACGTCATAAATAATGATTTCACACTGCAAACGTGTCCATCATGCATGCAGAATTCATGGACTGTCATTTCAAGGATAATATTAACAAATTATTATTAAACAAAATATACATTAACTCATTTTTATGTAATAAAATAGCGAAAAGTAATTCAAAATATACTAATAAAAGTGTAATGGTATGCGAATAATAATAAGAAGCACTAGAGACTCACTTTCAGACAAAAATGCCGACCCAGAGTAAGAGGAAGAGAACGCCGAAGCCCATGAAGAGCGACGCCACCAGAGAGATCAGCAGCTCTTTGTACACGTCTCTCGTGTACTTGGTGGACGTTACTTCATATCTGAGGAAGGGTCAAGGGTGCACACACTCTTTTTACGCTCACATTACCTATGCAAGCTTTTTGCGAACACAGAATAAAAGACAAAAATAAAGGGAATTGCAAACTATCTCACAATTCTGAATCTTTTCTCACAATCGCAAAACATCTCAAGTTTACATCGTGCAGTGTTGACTTTATTACTTTCATCGTGAAAAAGGGCAATTATGACTATCTCACAAACGCATTTTTTCTTACAATTTCAAGATTTATTTCAGACTTCTCTTCTCAGAACTGTAAGTTCATATCTATCAGTTCTGAGTTGACGAGTTTACATCTCGCAATTCTGTTTTTGTTCCAGTCGCACACAAAAAAAGGTTTGACTTTCTCTGACAATTCAGGACTGAAAACGTTTATCTTTATATCTTGTCTTTTTCTCACAATAGGCTTTATGCACACACAACTGCACTACTTCCTGAACTCTATTATTGGGCAAACTGATTAATCCAGGTGTGTCTGACCTCAGCAACAACAATAATCAGGCACACCTGAATTAATCAAGTTTGTCAGACAGGAAACAAGGAGCTGGCTGAAGTTCAGGAAATAGTGCAGCTGTGCATGAAGTCTATTGCAAGACGAGTCTACATCACAATTTTTACTTTTTTTTCTTGCAATTCTGTTTTTTGTTGCTGTTTCCATCATGGAAAAAAGGTAATTGCAATTTTTCACAATTCTGCAAGAAGAAAAGTCTTAATTATGTTTTTTGAATTGCAAGATGGTCACAATTTCCTTGCTATATTGAATTCAGAGGCGGAAACAAGCTTTCATGCATATCTGAGGGCATTGCAGAAAGTACTCCAGTGACTAGTGAAGGATACACAAAGAACCAGGCCGTGAAGAACATGCCGATGGCCAGCAGCACTATGGTGAGGTGGGGGAACACGGCCGGGTTCACCGGGCTGGTGTATCTCGTCATGGCTTCCAACTCCTGCACAGACAAACATTTACACTGATATCAGCACTGATTCATCTCAAGATGCTCAATCAAATAACAATAAAAACAACAACAACACAAACATGACATAAAGAGGCTGGAAAGAACAGGTGAGAGCTGATCTGGTAGAAAGTCAAACATCATTAGTTCTCCAAAATTTAATTAAAAATTCCAAAAAGAGGTGAGATTAACCTTTGACAAAACTGTCGGTGGATAAACACAATACATAAATGTGAAGACTGTAATAAAAACCTCTCTCTGCATAACATCTATTACAAGTTAACATGAAGCCTACACTCACACATATGTATGATTAAAATATGATTAATATATTTTTTATGACGTTTATATTTGTGTCTGTAGTAAAAACATCAGCACTCCTGACTGACATCAGCGGCTAACTGCTAAAGCTAAATGCAATTTAACAAGACGAGAGCAATAAAGGGAAATACTAGATGCGTTATTTGCAGTTTCAACCCATGACTGGACTCTCGGGGGTTAAAAACACAATTATTTGCTGTTAAATCATGCGTAATTTACCATCGTGTGACAGGTAAAGGATGAATCCGTCTCCGACCGGAAGAAGAGTCAGAACAGCCACGTAAGTGATGAGTGACCGGAAGAGGAGTGACTGACAGCGCCATACAAAATAAAAGTCCTCCCTCATAGATAGATAGCTCAACACAAAATAAAAGTCCTCCCTGATAGATAGATAGATAGACAGACACAAAATAAAAGTCCTCCCTCGTAGATAGATCCAGAGCCAAATATTGAGTCTACAACGGTAGGAATGCATGACATATTATCTTCAGAAATTATTCAGAAAATTCATTATTCAAAGCATTATTACACTGAACGATTAAACTTGAAATATTATTATATTCATAAATGACTGTTAAAAAAACATCCCAAAACAGCACCCAAACCTTGCAAAGACCTACCTCATTAATTATTCAAATACAACAGCCAATGGCAAGTCTCCAGCAGCTTGTTATTTTTATGTCAATAGTTTTATTTATTTAAATTATAGTATGCAGTTTGTGTGAAAGTAAATATCTCATATTATATCACGCAATTTATTTAGTTAATCATACAGTATTGTTTATACGTAATTCCTTTGCGCAGCTGCGCAGTGCATGCGACCTCAGAATCAAATTCTGGCGGTTTTGGGTTTTGTCGGCCTAAGTTACAGCAAAGCGAGCTATGGATATAAGAAAGTGGTTTAAAGATTCATCGATGACAAAGACGACTTTGATCAACAACACCGTGTGTGGAGGATACTGTCTATGGTGTGGAGACGACTCTGGAGCTAATGAGATGGTAGGAATGGAGAATTTGTCTGCTAAATTTTTATTGCAGTATGTTATTACATTGCTTTTATTATTGTTGTGTTTGTTGGTGGAAACCAGGAGGTTTTGTGACTCATGTTTGTGAAGTGTAGAGTCATAAATCAAATTGGTTTTGGCTAGTTTTAGGATGGACTTGTTATGATATTACGTTGATTGTGCCTGTTACTCAAGAAAGCCACTAGATGGCACTGTGTTGTGTATGTATGTGACGAACAATGCAGATTAAAATATAGGCCCCCCCAAAAAAGACCAAAAAAGTCCCTGCATTTCAACACAAAATAAAAGTCCTCCTAGATAGATAGATAGATATCTCGACTATCCTCCCTCATAGATAGATAGCTCAACACAAAATAAAAGTCCTCCCTGATAGATAGATAGATGTATAGATAGCTCAACACAAAATAAAAGTCTCCCTCATAGATAGATGTCTCAACGCAAAATAAAAGTCCTCCCTCATCGATAGATAGCTAAACACAAAATAAAAGCCCACCCTCATAGATAGATAGCTCAACACAAAATAAAAGTCCTCCCTGATAGATAGATGGCTCAACACAAAATAAAAGTCCTCCCTATAGATACAGTAGATAGATAAATAGATGGGTCGTTTTATTGTGACTGTAACACAAGGAAGAATTTAAATTTAGTATCCAGAAAAAAATATTTATTTAATTTATGCATCATGCTTGCATACATTGTATTATGACATCAGTACAC